CCAGCCCCTGACATTCTGTGATTCTGTGCCATCCCTGAAGTAAAGGAGTTCCTCCTCATGTTTAGCTGAAACTTCCTGTGTTTAAGTTAGTGTCCATTACCTCTTGTCCTGTCACTGGGCACCACTGAAAAAAGGCTGGCTCCATCTTCCTGACACTCACCTTCTTAAGCATTTATAAGCATTAATAAGCTCCCTCCCTCAGTCTTCTCCACACTAAAAAGCCTCAAGTCCCTCAGCCTCTTCTCATAAGAGAGATGATCTAATTTCCTCATCATCTCTATAGCCCTTTTCTGTACCCTCTCCGGCAGTTCCCTGTCCTTCTTGAACTGGTGAGCCCAGAACTGGACACAGTACTCCAGCTGTAGCCTCACCAGGGTGCTTTAATTTTTAGGTACTTTAACTTTAAGAATATATCAGTATCTGGGATGACCAAATTTTTAGAGATGGTAAAAGTCAGGGAGTTTGCCCCATACACCTAACACAAACACAAAAGCAGACAAATCCTGTGGTTTTTGTAGTTTTGTGGGAGGCTGGAGCTAGAATTCTTTCCACAAGGTGCAGACTGTGTGATATTAAAGTGAGGAAATGAGACACCAAATCTCTTTAGACACAATGATATGCATCCATCAAACAGAGGGTGACCCAGGGCTTCTACAAAGCATCAGTGCAGCAGGCACATCTTGTAGCAAAAGGCTCAAGCAGATGCTGTGGCTCAGATGCCCCAACTATGATGTCTTGAGACTGTGGGAAGCTGAAAACTTGCAGGCTGTGTGGTTCCGTGCAGTCTCATGTCAGTTATCTTCCCTCTTCTATAGAAGGCCAGGTCCGAGGGTTACATCCTTCACAAGGGCAGCCAGAAATGTCACATGGCTCTCTGTGCATCTCGGCAACGTTTTTTTTTTCTTCTGGATGTGACTGTTTTTGTGAAGGCTCTTGGGCTCTGTTATGCTGTCCTTTGCTCTGGCAGCCAAGTGAGGGAAAGGATAATGCAGAGTAAAGCACGTTACTTTTGCTCTAAAGAAAAATTGACACATGGAAGAATATCTTCACAGGAAACCTCACAGAGTATAAGGAGGAATATCTGTTTTTCTGTTGCTTGAAGATGCATAGCTTTAAGTAAACCCAGCTGCCAATAAGACAGGAAGGGATTCACAGTTACCTTAGGACAGCTTTTTAAAGTAACTTGCTCTGCAGCAGCTTCTGTGCATGTATCTACTTAAGAGATGAGAAGTAAGGCCAGATGGCAAATATATATGGATGCCTGTCAAGGCTTAAGTTTGTGCTGGCCACTAAACAAATGGCAGATGCTCTCTAACTCCTCTCGCTCCCCAAACAGGAAAGGAATAAGGCAGAGAGACTTATGGATTGGAAAAGAAAACTAAAAGAGCTTTAGTAATAATAGTGCTAATAAGGAAATAATGAAAGTAAAGGAATACACACAAATAAATTAAGATAAATTAAATATATACACATCTACACAAAACCAGTTTTGAACCCAGCTTCCCCTTCCCTCCCCAGCCCTGCTCCCAGTAGCAATCACCACCGAGGCTGCAGGGCAGGAATCACCCGGACAGTCCCAGGCTCAGTGACAGCGGGGAACTGGATGCAGGAGCAGGATTCAGGAAGTCAGGATCAGAGGTAGAAGAATGGACCGAGTCCACCTCAAATGCTGGCTTTTGGAGACAAGAACGAGGGCTTAACCCCTCATGATCTCTCAGTTTTATACTTAGTATGATGTATCTAGAATGGAATATTCTTGCTGGTCACCTGTCCTGTCCATTCCTCACTGGAGGCACAACCTTTTACTTCCTTGTGACCCCTCTTACTTCCCAGCACCCCCAGTGTGGCACACACAAGCCAGCAGTGGCCTTGGTCACTATAGGAACAAATACCAGCGACAGCCTTTCTGCACACCAATCCATGGTAGTAACTATAAACATCAAGTGTTATTACTGCTAGTAGCAGACACTGCAAAAACATGCTGCCAACCTCAGAAATTGCAGTCTCTTAGAAGAGACTGAGCTAAAAAGTAAAATCACTGAACAGAGTTGGTTCTGTTTAGTTCAAGCCAGATCAGGGCCCATGTGGTGTAAAGCTTGGCCTTGGATGCGAAACACCTGGTGTCCTGGCAGGTTAGACTGTGGGAGAGTTTAGCTGAGCAAAAGTCCAGAGGAGAGAGAGAACGCTGTGGCCTCAGGGGCAGGTGCAGATACTTTCTTCCCAACTCCTTCAGGGAGCTGGTGCAGCATGGGAAGCAGGATGAGGCAGGCTTCAGCATCTAGGATACCTTTAGTGAAGTCATTGCCTTTAGTTCTGAGTGTTCTGCAGGGACTGCTGTGGCATGAAAAGGTATGAGGCAACCAGAACTACTTAGAAATGTTCTCCATCAGCCCCCAAAAAGGCTGTTTGAAAAGCCCAGGGTGATCTTCAGGTCTGTGCTGATTTGATCAACAAGGTCTAACACAAATTAGCCTCCTGATCTTGATAGGTAATAACTTGGTTATGTTCTTTCCAGTAACAAGAATTTAGGCATAAACAGGAGATGGATCAAGGCATTGCTCAAAGATTCGATCCAAGAGATACCGGACACTTAGTTAAGTCAGTAGTGTTTCTGGCTACTGATAAACTTGTTTCCAGGTCAATGCCTGTTTAAAATCTTTGACTTAAGTGAAGGAGACTTGTGAATATGAGCCAGATCCTCATTTCACTCATGCTTCTAACTGTGTTTGCTCTTTTAGTTTAACCTGGTGTGTGAGGACTCCTGGAAGCTGGACCTCTTTCAGTCTTCTGTGAACGCTGGGTTTTTTATTGGCTCTATGAACATTGGCTACATAGCAGACAGGTACGTGTGGGCTGACAGTAAAACCCTCTGATCTCCCTTACCGGTGCCCAGCAGCTGAGCTTAGCTAAAGGGAGGGAAAAGTTGTGCAATGGGTGCAATCGTCTCTTTTCTCAAAAGAAGGTCAGCTACTTGAATGTTCAGTCACTGCATTAGGAGCAAGTACTCTGTCCCTTAGGTCGTGCCTGGTGGTTTGCACGCTCTTCTCCTGCCCTGTGGGTCCTGCAGAGCCTGTGAAGACTATTTTAGGATCATATGCCTAAAACTCCCTACCATGCCACACCAGAGCCTGGGGATCTTAACCACAGCCAGGAAATGCTGTTTTGGAACTTGGAAACATTTTGCTTCCTTGAGAGAGAAACTTTAAAACAGTAGCTGCAGAAACTGCCAGATAGATATAGCAGGAGCGGTAGTCTGGAAATCCTGGTGTCCCAGCATCCTTAGTAACCCTATTCCGAGCCAGCAGAGACAGGCATCCATGCCCAGCTGGCCAAAGTTAAAAAGAAATGAATGCTGATACTTGAAAAAACTTTTTTCTCTCATATTCTTCTCCTGCCTAGAGACTGTTAGTACAGCAGACACTAAGCAGCTCCAGCTGTGAAATGCAGCCCACTTGCAGCATGATCTGTACATGTAAGGTTTTTGAACGTTAAGATTGGGGTATATAAATCTGTTACTCTGGTAGATGCAGACATACTAGAATCATAGCATTAGCCTATACTTATTTTTCGCCCCATTATAAAAAATAAATTACAAAGCTGCCTTATCTGAAATTTGCATATAACGTCATAGCCCAAATACATGTTAATATGCGACTACTGCTGCTCTTTAACTTGGGAAATTTTTCTTCCTCCAAGAAAGCCTTTGTGGAATTCATAGAATTTAGAATTGCAGATCAGTTGGGACAGTAATTTTTCAGGGAAGTGAAAAGCAGATAAGTGAGCAATATACTAAGAATAAATGTATGTATCAGTATGTATCTATCCATCATATAGCAAAGTTGGTTTTTTTTCCCCCAGAGAATGACAAAACTCCAACTACTTTAAAATGCTTATGTTTTCATGACTAGTGTTTTGCTTTACTCATATTATCTTTCCATCCAGGTTTGGCCGTAAATTTTGCCTCTTAAGTACAGTTCTTGCAAACTCTATCTCTGGGATCCTTCTGGTCTTCATGCCCACCTACCTGTGGATCGTCATCCTTCGTTTCTTCCAGGGGCTGGTCAGCAAGGGCTGCTGGACTGCAGGCTACATCCTGGGTGAGTTCAGACCTTTTCCCAGGAGCAAGACTGGTTGCAGAAGATGAAGAAAAAAAACCCAACGGATGAACAAAAGCCATTTAAAGAGCACTTCCTGTGCCTCTAAAGAAATCGTATATGCAAGCTGGTATCAAGGAGCTTTTTCACCTCTTTGACTGCTCAGGTTTTTTTTCAAGCACTGCCATTAGGGAGAAGCAGCAGTAGCCTTCCAAGCTCAAGAAAGCAGTGGAATATTAGGGGGCCAGTTAGGTCAGTGGTTTGAGCGCAGTGCTGACAACAATGACTGACACCGAGGTCGCGGGTTTGATTCCCGCTCGGTCCCCATGTGTTGCCTGGTCTAGTCGAGAGGTGGCGTCCCTGCCCATGACAGGGAGGTTGGACTAGATGATCTCTAAGGTCCCTTCCAGCCTAGGCCATTCTATGATTCTATGATACTAGGGCTGTTACCTCAAGACAAGCTTTTCCCTATCATGGAATCACAGAATTACTGACTCTGGAAAAGACCTCTGAGATGATCAAGTCCAGCCTATGACCCAACACCACCACATCAGCCAGACCAGGGCACTAAGTGCCACATCCAGCCTCTCCTTAAACACCTCCAGGGACGGTGACTCCACCACTGCCCTGGGCAGTGCATCCCAATGCCTGAGCACCCTCTCCATGAGTGTTTCCTGGTGCAGCTCCCCTTTTTAAACGTGGGCTCCCTGTTCCCCTGCCTACTCTTGGGTACAGGCTGGGGAAGATGATGGCCCTGAGACAGATTGAGGCTGCTCCAGCCCAGTCGCAGACGGGGTGATGACAGTGGAGGCCCTTAAAGAAGTAGGCAGGGGGTGGGGAAAACTGGAGGCATTTTTACAACATGAAGAGCATTAAAGGGCAAACAGGAGGCTTGACAGCCTAAAAATATCCAAAGAACAGCATGCACTTGCTGAGAAAAAGTCAAGCTGTTTGGATATCTGTGCGCTTGTTTGAGTGGAGCCCAGCCCAGGGGGACTGCAAACCCATTCGAGGGGCTGGGTTGTGCCCGTGCTTCTCCCAGTGCCTGCACTGGTCACATCTGGCAGGCAAGCCCAGCTGTGTGGCAGCAGGGTTGGGGCCAGCTCAGCTTCCTGCTACATGGCGGAGCTCTGTTGTGAAGTTCAGGCTCTTGACAAAAAAAATCCCAATGAAAAGCAATCACCAAAGCAGCAAATTAAATACCTTAAAGTCTGCCATATAGAGCCTTATTTGGATTAAGATGTCAGGTGGCTCTGCAGAATAGCTCTGAGTGATTCAGTTCACTCTGGTAGTGGTAAAAATGTAAATGTCAGCACGCTAAGATGTTAAATCTTTTAGTGGAGACATCTTTCTAATGCAGTTATCCAGATGTCTGACAAACTAAATAAAAAACATTTAGCCCACAGTCCAGACCACTTTCTGCCAAGACATGATTGTTCTTCCCTGTGCATATTCTAGATGCTTGCTTGGTCTCTTAAATATTTTCCTCATGCCAATGAATTCTTCATCACTTCTTCTAGGGAACTTTATGCCATTTTAGAGTATAAAATCCCTATCAGGTCTTGCCCTATCCTGCTATTTTCCCTCAGTTATACCTTATTACTTCTGGATTCTCCTTGAAACTCTCTCTCTCTCTCAAGAGAGAGCGCACCCAAAATCATCCCGAAGGCCCCTTTAAACTTGTATCTTCTCCCTAAAGGTGGCCTATGCTGAATGCCAGGGATAGAGCAACCTTCTCATACTCTCCTGGGACATTTGTCTACCCTTCAGTGCTTTTTTAGCTCAGTCCTGCTGAGCCTGAGGAGATATCTCTGTGCATAATTTGGCTAAGTAGTATTGGTTAATCCATGGCTCCAAAACACAGCACTTCCTTCAGTTGCTAAATAATCACTTTTTGTTATTTTCCTGGTTGGTTTGCTCTCTTGAAGTCACGAAAACAAATGCAAAATTATGAGTATGCTCGTGCCTGCCTGCTGCAATAGTTACTTTTAGCTCTACAGCAACAAGGCTTACCCTGTGGGCCCATCCTGTGAGATGCAGTTGCAAAGTGCAGGTGGGTTGTGTAGCCATCCTGACCAGGAAAACTGTATGCTATCCTGTGGTACAAGTATTTCTTATATACTTGGAGAGAGAAGCTGATTAAAAGGCTGATGTTTTGTTATTGGGTTTGAGACATAATGTAAGTTGGTCTTAGATTTTACAACAAAATCCATCTGTGCACTTTGAGGAGTGTTTAATTTACCCAAGGATTTCTGCAACAGAGGAGAGTAACTGGATGCCTTAGCCAGCGTAAGAGCAGGAGTGATGTTTTGTCCTCTGCTGAAAGTTTGGGTGATAGAAAAGGAAACCTTCTTCTGTGAGTACCAGGGAATTTTTGTCTGGAGGCTTTATACCAGGAAGCCCAGGATTACCAAGACTGTCTCTTCAGGGTGCTAACACAGTGTTGGTCTTCTAGCCTCTCTGCAGAGCGGGCTACTGCTGCGCCGAGCGGTTGTGGCTGAGCTGTCATTAACCCATCTCTGTGCTCATTTGCAGTGACGGAGGTCGTCGGTCCGAAGTACCGGAGGATGGTGGGCATCCTCTACCAGGCGTCCTTCTCCGTTGGGCTCCTGGTCTTTGATGCCATCGCTTACGCCATCCCTCACTGGCGATGGTTGCAGCTCATCGTCACCCTGCCGAGCTGCTTCTTCCTGCTCTACTGCTGGTAAATGCAATTTTGTTGTGCTTTCCACCCAGCAGCCAAAAAAACCAGCTTCTCCCACTTCCTGAGGCTTGATACGAAGGGAAATTTAGCACTGCTTTTTGGTTGTGTACATCTCTTATTGCAAAGAGGAGGTAAACAGCAAGAAGGAAACAGGAAGATGGCTTCTGTTTAAAAAAAGGACCACTCTGAAAAGCACTGGGAAAGTGGTTTAATATGTATTGTCTTCACGAAACATTGCATAAAGGAAAGGAAATGCCTTGACATAATTTAGTGGATCCTACACTGAAAAGAAGATTATTGAGAGATGGTTGTTTCTGAATGCTAACTTAACTATAGCAGGTTGTTTACATGCTCTTTTAAGGAAAAGTTGCAGCTTTTTGCAGTCCAACCAAGAGAAGGCATGTGGGTTCACCTTTATTTTGGGTCCTCTCCTCTCTTTTTCTGATTGATACTTTTCAGTTTGAATGCTTTGGATTTGAGAAATTGTCTGGATGGGTTGAGAAGCTAGGAATAGCACAAAGACGTTCGTTGTCTTTCTTGTTCCAGGTTTGTGAATTGGTTAGCCAGTTCTACCTTGTTTCCTACTCCTTGACTCGTGATGGCACAACTGGAAAATGGCTCCCTAAGAGGACCCAGTTTGTGATGAACAGGCTGGATAAAATAACAGCGCTACTCTTGCTCAAAGCCCCTCACTGATTTATCTCTAGTAAACTCATCTCTGACTAAAGCCACTGCCACAGCTGCTCCTCTTCCTGTTTCAGCAGTGAAATGTACTACTCTTCCTGATTGGGAGGGAGGGACAGAGGAACACAGA